CACCTACCGACAGAGCATTTTCTCTGTGCCCTCCTACTCGGAGATTTCTATTGGCTGAACAGTACGTTTTACGGCGCTTACGATGATAGTAAGGGTTCCAGAGAATGGCCACTGTTGTGCTTGAATCTCAATGGTCAGTGGCTCTCATCAGCTGGCTGGTGTGTGCTCAATGAGCCAGTTGGCTGTCGGCAGCTGGCCTGCATCGGGTGGCGGACGCTTCTGAACCCGTGTAGTCCTGAGTGAAGCAGCAGCCAGCGATGCCGCTTGCCCTGTTTGGACCGCCGGGCCGAAGCTCGGATAATTTGAGGTCGGGTTCGACTGAAAATGAAAAATAGCCTAATAATCAGGGAATTTTTCTTCTAGACGCCACTGTAGGGGTCGTTATGAAAATTTTCAATCTGGGCAGGATCCGATCCAGAGTGACTCGACAAGGGACGTTGATCCCCAAACTACTTTAGTATGGAAGCAGAGAGTTACTGTAAAAATTCATATTGCAATTCAATTCAACATAAATTTTATATCTGACATAAAAATGAAGAAGAACTTGTACAGTTTCTATAAACCTCAATCAAAGTGAAGCGAAATATCAATTCTGGAAGAGAATCGAAAGAAAAACGGATATCTCTCACAGAGATAGCATTAAGTTTTCTTAGAAAACCCTATTCGAATGATACGTTATGTGAGAAAGAAAATAATATACAATAAAATTGAGTAATCTATTGATTACTCAGGAAAAAAACAATGAATAAGACACAGAGGAGATAATGAACCCGATTACTGTAGTGGACAAACAAAATAGGCAAAATAGAGAAGGCACGGATTGCTGGATTGGGAAGGGGGCGAAAAGGGATCTCACCCACACCCATACGATTATTCGAATGGGACTTGGGGTAAACTACACAATAATGTATATGTGTGAGCATCAGCAAATTCTCAGTAATACTTGTAAGTGAAATCAGTAAAAGAAGTAGTCAGCCATTCAGACTATTTTTTATTCGGATCGATCAGACGCAACTCGTACAGACCGCATTCATCCTGACTGAAATCAATCGGTTGCAGATTCCTCATCTTCGTCGACATCAACGGATCCCACGATGCAGCTGCCCAATTTGAAGCACGTCCTGAAAGTAGAGAAGGAAGAGCAGTAGAATCGGATGCACCTGACCGAAGAGAGATAACCTACAGGGATAACCTACCTCGGCCAAAAATGGCGAACACAACTGAAGAGATGGCGATCACCGCAGCTGACAACATGAACACCCTCGACCATTCCGCAAGCGAGCTGAACCGAATAATATCATCATGGGATCACACAAAGTCGCCCAAGAATCAAAAAAATTGTCGGTTATTACAAAAAAAGAGCAAAAATCAAGGCGATTGAATCGTCTTCCCCGTAAATTTAAAGGCACAGTTCATGATAAAAATGACTTCTGAGATATCCCGCTAGAATGAATTTGTGGAACCCCCGTATGCCGTACTTGGCACTGTCATATTTGAAAACATCCTAGATAGGGCGTTATAAAGGCTCAAAGATTGAACCGTGTGTTCCTTGGACGAGTTTCATCGCATTGTACGGAGGTGCATCACTCACATGGGATCCCATGTAGGATGTTCAAACAACTTTTCATGACCCAATGCGTCAGTGAAAGGCAGGGCTGTACAGATCTTGCTCAATGTAGTCGGCTCTTTGTATAATTGCAGCAACTGAAATCTCGTCCGAATACCCCTTCCACGTCGTTTCCGTCATGGCAATCTCGTACAAACGCTATTCTCACGACATTTGAAGAGCATTACTTTTCACGAAATCGAAATTTTCTATAAGAGGAGAAAGAACTTTGTTATTCGCTTGATCGAAATCATTGGATTCTAGCAATCAAGCTAGAACAGAGCGGAGCATGACACTAAAGGTACTTCCAGATCATATATTTTTCCTTTTTTTGGCCCAAGCCTGAATCGCTTTTCTTCTACACTTAAAAAATGGCAGGCGGAGTTAGAGAAGTGTATGGCTTCTACTGATCCTTAGAAAATTGATTACCCTACAAAAACCCTATACAGATATTCGACACCGTTCTAATCACTTCAACAATACTATCCGACCGAACAGCCTAGCATCTCTTTCGTCAGGTTTTTCGAGTTCCAAAACCATGGCGTAGTGGCTCGGTTCCCCTCAAATGGCTTTGACGACAACTGAGGATAGGGAGCAAATACCCAACTGTTTTTCGGGGCTTCTCGAGAGTTTCTTCTTGTATTAGCCGAAGAAGATGTAACGTCATAAATTCTGGATTGATTGTCATCAAAAACTCCATGTAAATAGGATCTCGCAGCGTAAACGTAACGTGGTTAATCAACTGAGAAAAAGGAAACAATTTCCTGAGACAAGAAAGAAGAAAAACGAAGAAAAATAAGGACTAACTTTGTTCGGAGAATGGCGAAAATAAGCAACGGTGCGGTGATGAAGGCAACGGCAAAGCTGACCGCTATGAAGGCAGTGATATGTTGTGTGTAGACTCGTCCTACTAGGCATAGACTGCGTAGTAAACCACTAACGCACAAGCCGAGAGGTGCCAGAAGTAACATCAGGAAGTACACGGTACTGCAAAGAATATAGGGTTACGGTACAATGCCATAAAAGGCGGAGGAGGACAGGTCGATCGTACTCACGCTGATGGCTCTTGAAGATGGAAAACGATCGGGAGGGCGATGAAAAGCAGAGCCGTTAGACCGGCACTGATGCTATTCCATACCCGCACGTGAGCCGTAGATGAACAGCATGACCACCTGTTGGTCAGGCCGGCTGCCACCATCACTATTGGCTGGAAAGAAACCGTATTCTATCGTTCTTTCTGGCGCTATTCTTATAAGAGTAGAGGGCCAAAAAGGCATGGTATGAACGCCCTTTTTGGGCGGATCTTCACCAGCGCTTCTGCTTCCGCCTTATCTCCCGAAGCTCTGATTCCAAAGCGGAATAGGCCTAAAACTTACAATCAAGATGAAAGGCAGAACCGAATAGCCTCCAAGATAGTCGACCATGAATATCTCCTGGCAGGAGAGCGTCGACGGCATGTACGTGACGACCACTGCAATGGCGAAGAACAAGCTGAACGCTGCGATCCACAACGACCATGCAGCCAACGAACGCATAAGCGTTGGGCAGGCACCATCCTGAGCCCGATTACTCTTTAACTCCTGAAGTATACCAGTTAGTGGGCAACCTGACAGCATCCAATATTCCCACCTGTACTTTTCCTGCAACGATTCGATTCAATTCCAATCCGTTTACCCAAGGATGGTGTTGAGGTCGATCACGATGGAATATCGCAAATCTGAAAAGAAGGGAAACATTGTTTTTATTTTTTCTAAATAATTTTCCCAGTTTAGACTGGCTCGAAATGGTCGGAGTGCTTGGGGCAGAATCCAGGCGATCAGCCACTTCAAAAGCTTCATCAGCTACATCAATTATGGGTTCTACTTGAACGATGACTAGATGACTGTTACAAGAAGCGATTGTGAAGCTTTCCTCTCTGTTTCACTCCCGTACTCATGAAAAACCGCTTTCTCCCGTTTTCCTTTATTGTAACGGAAGAAAGAAATAAATGACAAGGCTTTCTTTTCGGAGCAAAAACTTTGGTTAAAAAAAAAACTCACAGAACGGAAAGCAACAGAGTGACGACCGCATGAGCTGCATAAATGCCGAAAAGTGGAAATTCATTGGAGAAAACCAGCATCGTCAAGGGCCATGAAAGTAATGGCGCCATCTGAAAGGAAATGAATTCAACAGGAATGTTTTCTGAGAAAATAAAGGTAGAATCAGATCAGAATTTTAATGTTCTGAGTTCGGCGTACTAATAAATTTCCTCTTATTACCTTTCTGGACACAATTCACTAAGGGCCGAGATCACGTTGAGAAGGAGCTTCTTCTAGAGAGATCGGAATACTGTTTTAGATCACTCCTCAGGTGAAAGAATGAAGGCATTTAATTGTCAACTTGAAAGTGATATTCTTTCAGGCTCCAAAATAAATCTGGTAGGGAGGAGGGGATAGGACAGGTTCTGGTAAGGGATTCCCAACCCTTGATGGCACAAATCACGACAATTCTGAGGTACCTGGTCTAGGCGAAATACTGTATGGTGGAGAATAGTGTAAATGGCGATGAAAGCGCGAAAATCAGCAGGTTTTAGGTTATATAAAGCTTCAAAAAAGTTGTAGAAGAGGTGGTTGACTGAAGTTATGAGTCTGAACCGTCTGGATGTCTCCCATATAAGCGTCCCACTACTCGTCGGCATCCCTACGCTTCATTGTGAGTGGTGATCTCGTCCCAACACCGAGTTTGACAATTCTTTAGAAAAATGAAGGACAGGATCGATGATCGTGGTGATAAGTGTTCCACGGCTTCATCGAACTAAGTGGAAGTGGGTTACCAGTGAGTGGTGCCCATTTCCCCATTACGACCGTACACATAGAGGTCCGATTTCTCTGAATAGGGTGATTTACGATGTCGCAGTACAGGGATTTTTCAGTACGGATCCCTTGTTCTCTGCATACTTTTTTCCCATCCTGCACGGATCGTAACAGAACTCGTACAAAAAAAGCCGACTGCCATTGAATTCATAGAAATTCTTTACAAAACAATCAACGAACCATTGACCGTAATGTATCAACTGCCTATTTCACAACCACGCCCTTCCAATTCGAACAGACAAAAGTGACCCTCCTCTTAGCGGATTCCACTGAACCCGTCTGACCCTGGCCCTAATTCGAATTCTCGCACTGCCTCACTTTGGTGGAAGTCGTTAACGGCACTGAGGCAAGTTGAATTCGTATAGGGATGGAAATGAATGGAAAGCAATAATTGTAGCAAACGGAGGCCAAATTGTCAGTAAAAAAGGAGAAAACAAATGAGCTCGACAGCCTTGTGAATGAAATTTCAATGACTACATGTCTTTCGTTGTCCCATCGAAATAACAGGGGAGTTTTGAAAGTTTTTCTGACTGTAATAACCTCTAGAAATGGTCAAACTCCTTGCTTTGAGCTGCTGCAACTAACGTCTAAAAAGTAAGTAAATACAGAGCATCGAGTAGGGATCACTTTCTTCTTGGGAAGCGTCATGAAGTCAAGTTTTATTCAGGACTACTATTGGAGTAATATTATAGAACCAAGCTCTTGGCCTGTACGTTTACTTTGAGGATGGGTCCTGAGTACAAGTCAACGCTTCAAAAAAGTTCCAAGAAAGAAAACGAACTCGAGGCGCCAAAGACTGTTTCACCATTCTCCCAAGTTGACTGTGTGGGAAAGTTGTTGCGCCTACCTTCAGAAAATCTTAATGCCACTGTATTTTTCTTCTTATTAATTACCATTTCTCTTTCTATGACAGTTTACGAGCTCCTCCCACACTCCCCTCCCTGCTCCCCTTCCCCGCTCCCGCCCTGACCGGGTTTCATAGCAACAGAATCAAGGAGGCAATTATTCATTCGTACGAGCCAAAAAATGACACATCCCTCTACGATGTTGCAATTTGGTCATCACGAAAGCATTCGGGAAGGCCAAATAATCAACATCGAAGGCCTCGCGTTTGAACTTACATGAATGAAGGCAAACACGGTCCCAATGAATAGCAGTTGCTCGTTCAGACATCCCCAACTGGCACAAATCGCTCCGGCTACAGGAAGCGCAGGAGCAAAGCTGACACCGATCAGTAGACGAAGAGGAAACAACGCCAGAAATCCTGAACAACACTCAAAATTTAGAGAAAATTTCACAAAAATCACCCAAATGGGTGCATGCACTTACCGAATTGGGACAGAAGTGGAAGCAACACTGTGAGAATAGCAGACATCGCTAGTGCGACCGACAAAGTCGCTCTAGTCCCACAAAATCTCACAAAAAAGATGGCGGGAATTACACCGATAAGGCAACCTGCAAAGAGAAAATTGGACCAAATGACACGCTTTCAGCTAGTAAGTTAAGTGGTACCTACCAAATCCTGGAGCAGCATAGAGTAGATAGCGCGTTAGTTGTGACTCAAATGATGGCTCCAAGCTGAAAATTGAAAGAATTCCTCTAAGAAGTTGAAGAGTGAGTCTTTGAATTTGATTAGTTTGTTACAAATAAGTATTAAAACAGTTTCGGAAACTGCTCCTGGTAACTCACATCATCTCATCCTTGGTCTCGTCCGTGTCTACCAAAGGGGATGGCTTCACGACATCTTCCCCACGGCCCTCCAAACGATCAATGGCCTTCTGTACTTCTATAAGGGAACTTTGAGAATCAAGTTGAACAAGGAACCTGTTTGAGAAGCAAACACAACTTCAATCGATAGAAATGACCCATTCCTAAGCTGCTCAAATGACATGGTGCAGTGGCATGCATACAACGTAGCTGTCAAAGTCCCTAGATTTAGCCCTCCCACACTGATTAAGTTTCGAGTCTCCCAAACCGTCAGCTGATGCCTGACTTCTTAGAAGGCATGCGGTAGCAAAAAAGCTAGAGAAACTTGATTGTATCCTATGAATCCATCTCAAATTCTCTCATTTCTTTTCTAAAGCGTCTAAAGAATAAGAAGAAACTGACCATTTCTAACGACATCCCGTGGATCTGGTACTACTGGAGACGGAATCGTAGTTGTAGTGAAATTAGCTGGAATTGGCGAATTGGTGAAGAAAACCAGCCTCGTGTTTTCTGTCGTTTTAATAGTTGGTGCTATGGTCGTTGAACTTGTCGTTACTCTAGTGACAACTTCTGGCAGTATGGGACGACCTTAATCAAATCTCTATGCTACATGGAAAACCAGAGGTAGGCGAATAACCACCAGAGCCACATGACCAGGATTTGAATCCTTTATTTTTTATATTTTTTCATTTCTTTAATTTTTTTCAAATTGTTTTTTTTTNCGTTTTACGGCACTTACGATGATAGTATGGGTTCCAAAGAATGGCCACTGTTGTGCCTGAATCTCAATGGTCAGTGGCTCTTATCAGCTGGATGGTGTGTGCTCGATGACCAGTTGGCTGTCGGCAGCTGGCATGCATCGGCTGCCGGACGCTTCTGAACCCGTGTGGCACTGAAGCAGCAACCAGCGAGGCCGCTTGCTCTGGATGGACCGGCGGGCAGTGGCTCGACATCGGTGGAAGCTTGGATACTTTGAGGTTCGACTGAAAATGAAAAATAGCCTAATAATCAGGGAATTTTTCTCCTAGACGCCACTGTAGGGGTCGTTATAAAATTTTTTTCATTCTGAGCAGGATCCGATCCAGAGTGACTCGACAAGGGACGTTGATCAGTGACTCGACAAGGGACGTTGATCACCGAACTACTTTAGTATGGAAGTAGAGAGTTACTGTAAAAATTCATATTGCAATTCAATTCAACATAAATTTTATATCTGACATAAAAATGAAGAAGAACTTGTACAGTTTCTATAAACCTCAATCAAAGTGAAGCGAAATATCAATTCTGGAAGAGAATCGAAAGAAAAACGGATATCTCTCACAGAGATAGCAT